ATAAAAATGCAAAATTGTTGATTGGATATTTTATAGTTTTAAAATCATTGATCTACGATCATTATAGATTCTTTAAGTCTATGAGTGAAAGAATTTTAAATTCTATTAAGCAACCAAAAATAATTGGATATTTAAAAATAAGGATATTTTAATGTTTGAAATTTATTGAACCGTCAGCTTTTTCATTTTCTTCGTGGAATACTGAATAAATACCTCGCCTTAAAAATAATCTCGTTTCGACATCGCGCTTCCGTTTCTAATAATCAAATCGATCTCAAATTAGATCTCTCGGAGATCGAAGGTGGTTTATTCAACGAGTAAAAATGATCGGAAAGATTTTCAGCATCGTGTTTAATTATGTGCAAATTCAACAAAATGGATTTTATATTCAATAGTCATAAAGATGAAACACGTAGTTGAAACTACGCAAAGCATAATCCACGAGTAATGGGCATTAACGTCGCATATAAATTAAATTCTCACGCAGCCTCTCATGCTTAATCAAAAGCATGATATTACTTTGCTCTTATTTATAATTTACATATACGTAGATATTCTATTTATTTACATAACAAGAAAATGAAGAAAATAATTCATCTAGCTTCGCGAAAGCGAAAGACTTTTCCAAAAAGTTCAATCATTCTATTATTAGATTCTCTCTGGATGGTTTAAAATTGCTGAACGATGGATCTTTCGTGGAAATTTCAAAGTAGCGGTCGTGACTTCGCATTTTTAGCATCACAATAACAAGATATAGTTCTGAGTCAAATAAACGATGATTAACGATAGATGTATTTCAAATTCGGGGTTTCAACAATCCCGAAATATCGTCGCGTGCAATAGTCGTCGAACGCACTATAATAAATTCGCCATTCCTCGACAAACGTGGATAACAATCGCTTCGGCGAGAAACCCCAATCAAGGAGAATTGATTGAGAGAAGTTTCTGCCCCGTAAAATCGAACTTCCCGTTTAATTTTGGGTTTGATTTAAAGTTCGAGAAGGAGGTTTGATCATCGCGGAAAGTGGTCTTTCTCATCGACGCTCTTCTACAGATTCACTTGTTTTACAGGCGGTCGACTATAGACTATAGACTATATACATATATATCTCTCCCTTGCGCACGATGTCGATGCGAGATTACGATCGGAGGGCTGATAATGCATGAATTGAATTACGGTATACGCATGTTGAATTATCCTCACGTAACGTAAAGCCCCATGACGTGTCGATGGTACGCCACATCCACGCCGACGCCGCATACAACTGCAACAAATAAAAAGAGGATCAAAAAGATTGTAGTCTACCCCTTTGATGAAACCCCGATTTTGACTAGCGATAGGTTCTCTCGCCGGGCATCGATCCTTTCGATCGCATTATATTTTGTGATGAAATTTAGAAAAGAATTACAACTCGTATACACACAAATCGTGCGAAATTCTTGATACAATAAATGAGCAAATCCTATAAATATGACCATAATATATTTCTAAATCAGAGGTGAAATTGCAGTCTTTTACTTCATAAATAATATTTATGATAATGCTAAGACTATTTATTCTATTCTAATGAAGTTTTTTTAATTTCGTTAGTCTCCTAATATATTGTTTTTCATGAATTTTACTTGCCGTCCGTCTCTTTTCTCTGTCGGAAAAGGCATCAATATGTTCAGGATACTTTACAGAGAAATTCTCGTGCATGCTAGTGCATTAATTACAGACTAAATATCCGTTCGTGCATTCCAAACGTGTGGATGCATATGCATTTTGGAATTTTGTGCCATTCGATAATATCGTTATGATAACAAGATAGAACAGTAGACCCTTTGCGAAATGGAAGAAAAGTTCTAGGCTATTATGAATTCGATGTATGTAAATAACATATTCTATCAAGAGAGATATTTGTTTCGGAGAGAAAAAAATTATTTTAACTCCGGGAATATTAATTGATATCAAGAAACGCATGTATATGATATATGAAATATAAGATACCGAGAGATCGCATTTCTTAATCTGTGCATCTCGGCGAATATAAAATTATTCTATTGTATACGTTGGAGGAGAGAGTGCTATGTGCAAGTATCGCGTACATATACAATGAAAGGATCGACTATATTCCTGCTTGACAGAAAATCAATACACAGCAGGTTTGAACGTCGAACGAGATTTTTTTTTTCGCAGAGCGACGGATCGACTTGAACGTCTACGAGGGAGGGACGAAAGCATGGGACAAAGCCGATTATCTCGAGTCGATGTAATTGCTCCCGGGAGAATCGCGTGTTGTATGTGTCAGGAGAAATGTCCGGGGGATCTTTCACAGGAGGAACTCGTTCTTATCACGATATGTGAAGCTAATTGCGAGCGAGACTTCGAATTCATAACAACGAAGTCCAAGTGTGAAAAAAAAGAAAAAAATTAGTTATCAATCCGCCCCTAAAAAATTGATTATTTAGATTAACATTAAATTAATATGAGCGTGTAATAGGAATCATTAAATTAAAAAAATTAAAAACCTCAATAATCATTTCTAAAAAAGCTTACTTGTTAATTGGACATTGATTTAATTGATATGATAAAAATTGCTGAATAAAAAAGATCAATTTTTGAGTTATCTCTAGAAGAGTTAATTTCCTAATTTAACACCGAGCATGTGTAGGAAATCATTAAATCACCCGAAACAATCGCTATAATATCCAGGTTGTTAAACAATGATGACGAACATATGACGATAATAATTGTAAGTGCTCAGATCTCTCTAGAAATGGTACTCTCTATCAATCTGCCACCGCGAGTCGACGATTTGACATTCCCGACTCAACTTTTTTTCAAACTCAACTCTCATCCATAGTAATCAATTCCACGACAAACTGGAATTGCGAAAAAAAGTTAATTTAATCAGAGTTAAAAAAGATTAGTCTCTTTTTCGATGCAATTCGATGCAAGTTTCATCACCGCACTCACAATCAAAAATTTCTCTTTACGTTGCTGTCGACGCTGATCTTGGACGCTAAAGCTGTGCAAGCCGGACTTGAAGCAATTCCTGAAATAGGAGACAGAAAGATATCAGAGAACAGTCCGTGAAAGGTAAATTCCTAATTGCAAAGCGGGCCTGATCAAAGGGCTTCTAAAATGAAATAGCCGGCACACGGGGAAATAATTACACGAGCCATTAGAGAACTTCCACGACGTGGCACGTTGCGAATGCAATTAATAATAATGATTTTAAGAAAGCCCTTGTTGAGCAGAGTGTTTCAACTTTAATGGACGTTTCAGTTCAGAGAATTCAATTTCAGAGATCGCTTCCGGTACGAAAAGAATTCTCTATCCGATAGAAAAATCTATCCGTAGATCGAAATTAATCGCCATTATAATTACCGATTATGTTAATGAACTTTTCTTGTTAACTTTTCATATGTCCAATTTTTTCTTGATTCCGCTGAAGATGAACCACTCACACGATCTCACGATTTTGTCCCTTATGCTAAATCATCATTTTAGATCAGAAGCCGAACTTTCGCAATTATCCCTTTTCAACACCCCTGCTAACGCAAACGATGTATATACATACGTTCCTTTGTATCTTTTCCAGGAAACCTAACACAATAGAGATCCACACGTATGTGTTCCGTGTATCCGCACGTGTTCATGGGTCGTGTTCGTGAGTCCGACGAATTTCGGAAACGCTAAAACTATCTATTATTCAAGAGGCGAAGTCACGCAACTTTAATAAAAGGAAAATCCGGCCGGCGACGCGCAGCTGAAATACTTGGCTGTTCGCCAGAAAGGAAATACTGGCGGAAAATTTTACACTCCTTATCTGGCTTCCACGACGTTGGTGTGCGCTCCTGTTTTATGTATTTATAAACTAGGCGCCGTGCCCGAAGAAACAAAATTCGGCGCACGCTGATGGATCTCGCTATCATCTCTCGTTGTAACGGATAACGTTGCAGCAGAAAGCAAGAAGAAATAAATAAAGACCGATAAATGTTTGTTAAACACTAATTATTTCATTAATTTAACAGTTACTCGGTCTTTCACTTTTTATATGTTGTCTTTGTAATTTCACTTCTTGGATAGAAATAAAATTTCAAAAATCTTGCAAAATCTATATTTAAATTTTCGGATCTTTAATTAGGTCTTCGGCATTCATCGTTTCGAAAGCTCGCGAGATTCTGGATATGGATCTTCGATCGTGTTCGCCAGTAGGATTGCCGAGGTCCTGCGGTTGGCACATGAATTGACCACCTGCGGTTTTACTGATTCGTATCATGAGTGAAGTTTCCAGGATCGCATTGTCCTCCGAGATGTTCCACCGAGATATTCATTATCTTTCCGACAAAAGAAAATCGTTAATCATTTTTCTCGAAAATTAGATCTTTAGAGAAAGCACGGAACATTTTTTTATATGTCAGCGGGTGTTCAGCGGATTATCAGTGTGCGCCATTGCTGATTAAATTAATTGAGCAATCAGCAGTTATTCAATTGCGAGAAGACGGTTGACGTAAAAATAATATTTCAACGACGTCGAATTGCGCGAATTGCGAACAGAAGTGAAAAACTAAAGAAAATTACACAGCAGCGACGACATATCAATAGAATCAATAGATTAGAGTATCCTGTGTGCAGGAGGAAATCTTTCTAAGAATGAATAGTAGCTCGATAAGTCATTCTTTCTTCCTTAATTTCTTTCTCTGTTATAAAAACGAAGACAGATTGGCGTGATCGAATTCCTATCTTGGGATATCGCATGATCTTCCCTGCATTCTCTTTATCCTCTTTTTTTTATTTCTTCTAGTCTACCTCTACTCTCTACGTATTAGTCTTATTTCGATCATGAAATAAATTTTCGAAGCTTTTGAAATTCGAAATTCCTAGGTTCAATTAGATATGCGATGCGAAAGGTTTCTGGTGATGCGTTCCGGCAAGCCACGGACACCACTGGTATCATCAAGGATCCTATCGGAATAGGACTAAAGTAGTAATAATTAAGACGCTAGATAGGCCACTCTTGAATATAATTATATAGGCATCAGGCAGATTCGGAAGCGTCACTCTTCACCGATATTACTGCTATTCGAGAATAGCAGCCATTTGCCTCGTGCGAACACGAGAAAGCCCTTATGTTGAAGAATATACCAAAGCTTTTCGCGCGAATTAACAATTCTCGAGAATGAGTGGAAAAATTTTACTTTTAATTTTAATTTCAATTATAACTTTCGCGCGAATTAAGAATTCTCAACATGAGAATGAATAGGAAGATGTTATTTGTAATTTTAATTTTGCTCACAACTTTCGTGGGTCATTTGACGATTCGCAGTTAATTAATTGCGAGTGAACTATTTTTTCAAAACTGACGTGCCAAAGAATCATAGAAGTTTTCCGTATCGCCTATATATAGCATAGATATACAGGATATATGCGGTAGATACGCGTAGTTCAGCGGGAATTAATTTGATTCGCGGTGATCGAAGGGAATCCGCCCGTCGGTCGCCGAGAGGGTTGCATGCGTCGAACGTTTCCGGCGACGAAGCGCACGATGGAAATTGAGTTTCGTCGAGTTTTCCATCGCGACGATTCGATTTGTCCCGCGTCGTGACGAGCGGCACGAAAAGTTGTCCTCGCGCACGCGAAACGAGAGCGGAAAGGCGAGAAGAGGAACGATCCTTTGAGAGTCGTTCCGAATGCAATCGCGAAAATGCAGACGGAAGGAAGGTGCAGAGGTAAATTGGGTGAACAACTTTTCGCGAAATGATGGATGCGTCTCCCCAGACAGAATCCGACGTCTGTGGCGGCTTCCTTTGAGAGATAGGAGGGTGTCCGCGATATCTTCCGAGCGGTTGGTAG